GGTTCTGGACTGGCAGCTGTTGTGCGGCCACCTGCGCTTCCCCGGACAGCAGGGAAATGAGCCGCACTGGCCAGTCCTCCTCAGGCCACCCCCCGGCCTCTGCCGACCCAGAGGTCCAGGAACACCTCTGGGTCGTCCTGGGGCCCCATCTTGTGGAGAGGCACATGGGGGGGTGGTGCTGGGGCAGATGTCGGTCCCCCAGCTCGAACCTCCCGGTCAATCCAGCTCCGGAACAGCTCGCGGTCTTCCTGCTGGGCTTGGAGGAGGGCATGGAACTGCCGCTCCTGATCGTCCCTCAGGCCCAGCAGCGCCTGATGTTGCTCCTGGTGAAGACCCGCGAGCGATTGGATAACCTCCGCAAATGGTGATCCTTGGGGGGACTGCATGATGGTGACGGCGTTCTTCTTCCTTCCCGGGTTTCGGCACCAGTGTAACAAAGGTTCAGGAGGGTGGAAGGAAGAAGACAGGGTCGGCTTGCTGGGACGCGAGCTTTATTTAAATTCCTTCCGACACTGTACACACCACGGCGCTCACCCAGCGCTGTCAGCTTCACAGTCAATAACTCATAACAAACAGAACACAACTTGTTTCCGTGTATCTACACCCGTCTCCGCGGGTCGCTCGCGTACCCAGTCTGTCTCTCCCCATCCTGTTCCAGGTGGCCCCTTTTATCCGGTCCCTCCACACCAATTACTGAAACAAGACACAAATGTTTATCATTTGCACTTGACCCACTTACGCACCGCTCGTCTCCTGCCTCTCTCTCCCGATGCAGATCTCGCTGAACCCCGCCCCTCCTGCCACAGACGTCATTTTCATTTAATCTTGCATGCAATGTCTGATAAAGCAGTGTTTTTTTTAGCAGAGCGCTGCTTTGTGTACAGCCCTTACCGGGGAAACCTTGATCTCTATCATTCCAACAGCGCCTCCTGCTGGCAGAGAATGAGTTTGCATATATATGCTGCCTGGGAAACACTGGACTATGGTATAAATACATTCAACTGTATAACAGTTTCACTGCAATTCATGTTATAATGTTAGAATTAAATAACAATAAAAATAATACATATGCACTTATCTGTTCATAGTAAATGCAGTTATTTTTAAGCGGTTGTTGACATCCTATCTAAAACGCGATTTAGCCAAAAACAACAATAACAATAACGTTACCACTCTAATGTGTCTTGCAATATCCGTGCGTGCAAAGCTTCTGCACGATCCTCTTGTTCAATATTCTCTGGGTCTGAAACCGGCTCAAACTGATATGGCAATATTGACGCCATCGTTAACT